TCATAAAACAAACCGCACCACGCATTTTTTTACTTTTATGTCATGAATGAGCAGGAAGCTGTCTTGAGATAAGCATGAATGATTGAAGTTGATGATGTATTTAACGACTTCAATCCTTTGTGAAATGGCAGAAGTTTCTGTTATGAAAATATTGCAAATGTTTCAAAATAAATCTGACATCACAACTGAGCCAATAAATGTTGAAAATTAAGACGACTTTTCAGAAAGAGACACCATAAAAGTGTAGCACATACTGAAAACCAAAATCTCGCTTAAATCATGCTTTCAAGTAATAGATGGAAAATGTTCAAAACAATCACTTCGGATCTTATCCATGGGAAATGAAAACAGGAACATACCTATCATTCCAGTACTTGTCTGCGATAAGATGCGGGTTTTCCACGGGAAAAAGGAGAGTGCAACGCCAAGTACGTAAGAATGGAGAACTAGGCCCGGAGACGTCATGCTGGTTGCTTGTCTTCGTGGGCTTGCTTATAGAGATCTCAAAGCCAGTCAGAGCTTCACCTTGTCCAGAACTATCAAGAAAAATTAGTCGCTAAAGTACCGTAGTTCGTTCGTGCTCCCTTAGCTACTTAACATTCACATAAAGTCCAGAAAATAGACACCAACCATTAATTCCCAAGGTGTTGCAGAGGTAAGTATTTTGCTGCTGATCCTTTTGCATTAGTCAAGTAGACTGAATTCAATACGCACTGGAAATAAATCATTTTTTTCAGGAATATAGTAAATATAATCAAAACAAAACACACAACCACAAATGCAGCCAAATGACAGATGGCACGAATAACTGACGACAAAGGTAGTCGAACAGTCTCCTACTCATAACTCAGTTACAGTAGCATAAAAATTGTTCTATTGATAACCTTCAAATTGGTATCCCTATAATTACTATCCCATTTCCTGATGTAATGCATAGTTTTTGGACACCCCTAAAATATGCTATCTTCGTTGTGATGATCAGTGAGCAATAAGATTCGTATGAGGAGTAACTTTTTTGTTTCAACTCCTCTAAATCGCTTACACTTTATGACCCGCGTGAATCTACTCATGCAATACCCCGATATTTTTAGTCAAAACTGGGCTAATCACTTTAAAAGCTTTTCTAAAATAATACATTTTTGCAGCCTCTATTAAAAGTGCATATGGGTTGGAAAATTTGTTATTGCCTACTCAAATAGTTTTGGCGTGCCAGACGGCACAAACCACGGCTAGCACTAAATACTGCTCTGTGTTGAACTGTTTTGACATTGTTTATGAAACGGAAATAAAACCAGTCGATACCACTTTGCACCCTTTCTGTAAGGAGAAGAACTGCGAAATTGCTTACTTATGAGGCGCAAAATCACGGTTTTTACAGCTTAATCATCAAAACGATTTTGCATATTGTTTTGCTTCATCCTAAATGCATTCTAAAATATCGAATTCTTGTGAGTAATTTTCATGTTTCAGTTAGATAACCACGACTGATTGGAAAAAATGTTCCCACAAGTGCGGACCAAAAAATTAGTGCTTCTGTGACGTTCCCAGGCTTCCAGAAGGCAGTGGGCATGACTGAATACTTGCATTCAACACAATG